CTCTGTGACAGACAAAGAGCTGGTCTGAGGTCCTGAAGCTTTGTGTCCGGTCTACGTAGCATCTTAATGCTCGGACGGGACAGAGCAAAGCTTCCAGGGCTGGGTCTGCCTCCTCCGGGGGCAGCGCTTGCAGGCTCACCACCTGATCCCTGAAGGGAGTAGTGGGAACCTTGGGCACATAGCCGGGCCGGGGCCTCAGGATTACCTGGGAGTCAGCCGGCCCAAACTCTAGGCACGAATCGTCGACCGAAAATGCGTGCAGGTCCCCTACCCTCTTGATGGAGGCCAGTGCAAGCAGGAGCAGAGTTTTCATTGATAGAAACTTCAGTTTCACTGACTACAAAGGCCCAAATGGGCCCTGCTGTAGTGTTTTGAGCACTAGAGACAGGTCCCAAGAGGGTATAGAGGGGGGCCGGGGAGGATTTAACCTTCTCGCCCCCCAAAGAAACCTGATGACCAGGTCATGCTTCCCTACCGATTTCCCTTCCGCTGGGTCATGGTTAGCAGCAATCACAGCGACATAGACTTTAAGGGTGGAGGGAGACAGCCTTCGCTCCAACCCTTGCTGCATAAAGGAAAGCATGACCCTGATCAAGCATCTCCGGGGGTCTTCTCGGTGAGAAGAACACCACTCGGCGAACAGGTTCCACTTCAAGGCGTAAGCGTGTCTCGTAGACAGTGCTCTTGCCGAAATGGTGTCAACTACCTCCTGGGGTAGGTCACCTAGAACCTCCATGTCCCATTCAGGGACCAGACATGAAGTTTCCAGAGGTCTGGACGCAGGTGCCACAGGGTGCCCCATCTCTGAGTCAGTAGATCCTTCCTCAGAGGAATCGGCCAAGGAGGGGCTGTCCGGTCTACGTACCATCTCAAGGCTTGGACGGGACAAAGCAAAGCTAGGACTGGGTCTGCCTCCTCCGGGGGCAGTGCTTGCAGGTTCACTACCTGATCCTTGAAGGGGGTAGTTGGAACCTTGGGCACATAGCCGGGCCGAGGCCTCAGGATTACCTGGGTGTCAGCTGGCCCAAACTCAAGGCACGAATCGTCGACCGAAATGCGTGCAGGTCCCCTACCCTCTTGATGGAGGCCAGTGCAAGCAGGAGCAGAGTTTTCATTGATAGAAACTTCAGACCTCCTGGGGTAGGTCACCTAGAACCTCCATGTCCCATTCAGGGACCAGACATGAAGTTTCCAGAGGTCTGGACGCGGGTGCCACAGGGTGCCCCGTCTCTGAGTCAGTAGATCCTTCCTCAGAGGAATCTGCCAGGGAGGGGCTGTCATGAGGAGCATTAGTTCCGGGAACCAGGTCCGAGTGGGCAAATATGGCACCACAAACAGAACCTGCTCCTCGTCCTCCCTGACCTTGCACAGTGTCTGTGCGATAAGGCTCACTGGGGAATTAATTTTTTTTTTTTTACCATCTGGGGATGGAGTCTCCACTCTCCGGGGAGCACAGCTCGTGACAGCTCATCGGCTGCACGGTTGTGCAGGCCCGGAATGTAAATGGCACGAAGCGACCGCTGATGCTTCTGACTCCAGAGGAGGAGGTGGTGGGCGAGTTGCGACGGGAGCATAGACCACCTTGTCGGTTGATGTACGCAACAGTCACAGTGTTGTCCGTGCGGACCAGCATGTGCTTGCCTCGTAAGCGCCCTCTGAGACGGTTCAAGGCAATTTCCCTTCCGCTGGGTCATGGTTAGCAGCAATCACAGCGACATAGACTTTAAGGGTGGAGGGAGACAGCCTTCGCTCCAACCCTTGCTGCATAAAGGAAAGCATGACCCTGATCAAGCATCTCCGGGGGTCTTCTCGGTGAGAAGAACACCACTCGGCGAACAGGTTCCACTTCAAGGCGTAAGCGTGTCTCGTAGACAGTGCTCTTGCCGAAATGGTGTCAACTACCTCGTTTACACCAACAGGCCGGTGTGACTTGGACCCGGTGAGTGCCGCGTAGCCATGCCCACCTCAGGACTTGGCCATGGAGCCAGTGTTGAAGCGGTCTCATATGAAACAGCCCCAGCGGCGTGACTGCCGCTGCAGCTGCCATATGCCCCAGGAGCCTCTGAAACCGTTTCAGTGGGACCGCCGTCCTGCTCTTGAACATATTCAGGCAGTTCAACACCGACTGAGCACGTCCCTGCATGAGGCGTGCTCGACCAAATCCAACTCTTTCCCAAGAAAAGAGATCCTCTGCGTCGAGAAGAGTTTGTTCTTTTCCCAGTTGTCCTGAAGGCCCAACCAGCTGAGGTGCGAGTGCACCAAGTCCCTGTGTTTACACAACTGATCCTGAGACTGAGCTAGTATGAGCCAGTCGTCGAGGTAGTTGAGAATGCGAATTCCCTGCTCTCTCAGGGGAACAAGGGCTGCCTCCGCAACTTTCGTGAAGATACG